CATCCATCCATGGTGTTCCTCTAAAGGGCTGTCGCATGACTAACAATTAATTGCTGGTGACAGAGGAGGTGAGGTTCATGAGAAATGTGGACTTTCATCTTCCACGAAAGTAAAAATGGCAACAGCTACTGGGTCGGATGGATGCGAGTGGTTTCTACAACTCCGTTCCGGAAACTCACTCGAACCTCCAAACCCTGAACAAGAAAGAATTGTGTCTCTTAGTCTGTAAATATACTGACGCTTGTTGATTATCGATGGGACATCGTTCTTCCTACCAGATTTCTTCGGTGTTTAGGAGCATTGAAAGACTTATACTTAAATAGTTTATTTTTGTGAGAAATCCATAATAATGAAAACCAGTTTCAGTTAATATAGTACAGAGAAATCCTAGTTTTATATAAATAAACACAGCTTTTAAGGTTTTGTAATATAATACATTTATTTAAGCACACATAATGTTATACGTAACACACACACAGATATATAGTGAAACTAAGTATAGAAAAACGCATAACTTACTACAGTCTAGCTCGGAATATGTTTTTTTCCCATTAGATTTATGCCAATTACTTGTAATATCCCATGAATTTCTAGGCAAATAGTGTTTTTGAGCTGGAATATATTGATTCGATTCATAAATTTATTTACGAACATTGGTTTAAAGCAGTGGTCTTCTAATTGGGTTCTACGGAACCCTGGGGTTCCATAAGGCATGTCCTGGGGTTCCCCAAGCCACAATGAAAAAATTGAAAGAAATTATAAATGTGTATGAAAAATGTATTTTCGTTCTCTATGAAGTTTGTATAATCACACGTATCTAAAACTCCTCTCAGTCATTGAAAAAGTAAAAATTTTATTCACACATAACTTTATTTTCTAATACTTTTTTTAAAAACTTTTATTATAATATAGTAAAATATTAGAACACTTTTCTTTATGAAGATTGCGAATATTCTTTACCATCCAAGATTCCATAAGATCATTTCATACTCGTTTGTATAATGTTTTGCAAAACTAAATAGTGTTCTTGTGGGAAATGCACCTTTTTTTTCGTTTGCGGAAAAAAATATCTATAACGAAGGAGAGGGAACAACTTATCGATATATCAACAAAGGTTTCAAATCTAAACTGAAGCAAGAACTGCTTCTAAATTTTACATTGCAAATTCATGCAAAATGCACATGATTTTTCACACAGCTATAAATATTTTAATGCCATTCAGAATAATGTATTTAAGTGAAAAATATTTCTCAACATATGAGAGTCTACAAAGAAAAAAAAAGGAAATTAAATGCAGAATATGAAATGCGACTACAGATAGATTAGATAGATTTATCTCAAAGGAAATCTTTTAATTATCAATTTATATGCACACCTATTTTTCACGTATTCTGGGATCTGAAAATAAAATTTATGAACTGAATGGAAGAAACTTTCTGTTTTAGGGAAGCAATATTATTATTGCTTGTAAAATATTAAAAAAAGTTATTGTATCCCGGTAGAGGCTCATCAAAGTACCCTTCAATCACAATCTATAACGATTTTTCATTTTCATTTATTTTATTAGGTAAAACATCTCTTCATGTCAAGCTTTTATCTAGTAAATATTATCTCCTTTTTTGCTGCCTTTGAATTTTTCGAACTTATCTTCAAACTTCTTTTTTCAAATATTTTCTTAAGCAAAAGACGAAAAAGAGTTTCTGTGAAAACATTAAATTTTTATCATTAAAAAACCCGTTTCTAAATATTTTGATATACTTACCATTCTTCAGTGACATACGCAAAAGTTTTTTAAGGGTCGAAAGTTGACCGTTTTTGTATCCTACCTCAATACGCTACCAAACATATTCTTTTGATTTGGGGAACAAAAAACCGTAAAAAGTAAATTATTGAATTAATAATTATCATTAATTAATAAAATAAATTATTAGTAGCAAATACTTAATAAAAAATTTCACGTACTCTATGCATAGGAATTTCTTCAATCGAAAAAAAAATCAACGTCCCCCTCTTATGTGCACCACTGCCCTTCTTCCAAATATTTGCACAAGTTAATGGAAATAAATGGGCTTAAGAGAAAAATTTAAATTATGCTTTCTGACTATCTTGAATTCTGTATTTCATGTTTAACTATATAATTTGAATACAAATCAATCCCTATGGTATAATAACTGTATTTATTACAGACTTAAAAAAAACCATACGTCTATATAATATTTATTCTAGCACAATTGCCTAAAGAATGATTCCCATTATAACGCAGTTGAAACCCGATTTACAAAAGTGAGATAGGTATACTCAGGTACGCCTGTATACAGGTATGGTCACATAATTATTATCCCAATTATAATCATGATTTTATTTAACAGACCAATTGAAAAAAGTTATAACTTTTTTAATAATAAAGTAAACTATGCGGTTTCTATGATATTTAAAAATTAAATGATATCATTGTTACAACAGGAATCCGCGCGATTCAAAACATTTCATTAATATCAGGGGAACATCAATTTGAAGATAACACTAATTTAATTCTCCCTCTTGTGGCGCATATTTTTCTTGGAATTGTGAAGCATTTCAAAGAGAGGGAGTATCGAAATTTCCCAGAATAAACCAAAAAAGAAAAGATTTTCAGTTGTGAATATCATTGTTATATATATACTTCTACAGTTAAATTATGATAAATATGAATTATATACTTCAATGAAAAAAGAAAAATTTGATATTCTTGTTAACCTCGTATTAAAAGAAAATTTCATTGCATTTGATCAGAATCTTTATAAATAGATCAAAGGATTACCTCAGGGTGGTCCAGCTAGTAATTGTTTAGCGAACCTATATTTACATTTTTTTGAAATTGATCATGTTGTAAATGATTCTTACTTGATTTATCGTTATATAGATGATTTAATAATTTTTGGTAAAAATAGTGAATACAAACCAAATATTACATTCTACCCTGATTATCTCAAGCTCCTTAAAGCTAACTTCAATTCTAATATGGTGGAATTCTTGGATTTAGACTTGCATCTTATTAACAATAATGTAGTCAGTAACATTTTTGACAAAAGAGATTCGTTTAAGTTCCATATAATTAAAATTCCTGTATGGAATAGTAACTTGCATATATCAATTTACAGAAATATCATTTTGAATTTTTTATTTAGAAATGATAACTTAACTACCCACAAAATAGATAAATACAATAATATAAATTTTTTTTTCAATATTGTTTAGATCATGAATACCCTTTTAATTTCTTAAGAACTTATATTCATCCCAAATACATTAACCGTCTTGCTACTTCGAATTCCAAAACCACCACACAACAATAGGATTTCAAAGTCAGCATGTTAGTGGTCTTGCTGTGAAGATTATATCATAACACTCATATCACAGTTTACATTTTTTCCACACACATCTTGAACATCTTACACATTGTTGACAACCAACCAAATTAGAGCCTAGCAAATTTACATTTTTGACAATCAACCAATTCAAATTCTACCATATTTGATTGTCGTCTTTTTTATATCTGTCTTTGCTGGCTGGTTTAAAAGTTAGCTCAAAAGATGTGCTTATGTATATTCGAATTTTTTAACTTGGTGAATAATTGATTTTCATTGATGTCAAGACGCTTGATTCTTTTCGTAAAAGCTCTGTGAGTAAAGAAATTTTGTTAAATTATTTTTTGAAGGATACTTTTCTTATGTAATTGTTTTATATAGGATTTTTCTACTTTTCTTAAGTAATTATTTTGCGATTTTTCTGCATTAAGAGTTTGGGAGAGTTTGTTACATAATAGTAGTGAGTGGTTTTATCATACTCTCTGAGTTTTCCATACTCTGCATTTTTGTTTATTTTATTTTATTCAGTTTTTCCTACCGAGTTGCAAAGGGGGAAGGTTGGCGCCTTCAAACTAGTTTAACCCCACTTATTCGGTCCCAAGTCCGAAATTGCTTTCTGACTCGTTAGGATCTTCTTTTTGTAGTTTTTTTTTTTTTTTTATTTCTCTATAATTTTGTTCTTCATGTTCAGCTTTTATATTTTTACTACGCTATTTCTTGTTATGTTCATTATCTATTATTTCTTGTTTTTGATATATAATACATATTTCTTTCATATATATATATATATATATATATATATATATATATATATATATATATATATATATATATATATATCGGAGGCTTCTAATGCTATCCGTCGAGCATTTTCAAAAGAAAAAGATCTTTCCTTTGGAAACCACCTCTTCTTAATTCCAAGTGCAAAGATATAATTACGAAACAAAAGGGGAACTCATCCTCCCCTATCCTGTGCATGATCTACAGGTAAGCCTTTTACTCGAATTTCAGACCGGTTTTACCGCTGGGATTCAGTCTCCAAAAAATGGGATCCGCTAAACAATGCTTGTTTTAGTTTCTTAAGTATTTTTTATTTTATTTTTAGAATTTAACAATAAAAAGTTTGCTGGTTGTCCACTAAATCATAAATATGTCTTCATAAAAAACACGGAACTCTTGATAATTTAATGCGAGATTATTCTCTAAAAAATAAACGACCAATCATCAAATGATAAGCAGTATGGAATTGTATCATTCTTTTTCTTTAGTATGGTTTTAATAACAGAAGCAGGAAAATGTATAATTTAAGGGTTTGACTCTGGTTTTATTAGTTTAATAAAATCTTGAATTAGGATGTTTTGTTGAAAACAGTTCTCTGTTAGTTTCTTTTTCAATTCCTACTATTAGTTCACACTCTTCCTATATATATATATATATATATATATATCTTGTTCAAATTTTCAATCGTTAATAAAATACTTTTTATTCATCCATTCAAGTTCAAATACATTTTTTTAACTTGTAGTGGATGATACTGTTTACAATACAGTTTTTTGAAATATTAATTCATTAATTAAATTAAAAAATGAATAAATAGTAACAAACAGAAATAATAGTACAACAACATATATAAAGAGGAAAATAGCTTGTTGTATCCCTGTAGTGCAATGGATAGCGTGTTGAACTTCTAATCCAAAGGTCGAGGCTTTGAATCCCACCTGGGATGGCCTAATTTCTGAGAATGCGACTTCTTTTTACCCTGCTATTTTATTGGAATAATTAAATTTAATGAATGAATAAATAGTCCAACACCCTATATAGAAAGGAAAATCGCTTTCTATTTTGCCACTTAATATTGTGATTCTCTCATATGCATATGTCGCAGGGAAATGATTAAATTAGAGATTTCATCAAATTCCTAAGGGAGATAATCAATCCACGCAAGATGTTAAAATAAGAACTCTGTAAGGTGCTTTACCTAAGGAAGGTAAGTGATTTGATCAAATCCCTAACCTGTTTCAGTGAAATGATGAAATAATATTGTCAAGAGTTTAAAAGTGTTTATTTAGCAAATATGGTGTATTATTAAAAGTAGAGTAATTAAAACAACAATAATCATTGAATTACAAATTATTTATCCGAGATTAATTAACAAAATAATTAGATAAATAAAGCTGGTATTTTTTTAAAAAAAGAAATTTGTAGTAGAATTTCAAACATTTTTTAAAAAATTTACATTAATATAGTACTTCAGAAATATCCTGCTTTATTTGTATCACCTTTTTTTAGTTATTATTCCCCTTTTTAAAATAGCTTTTTTTATTATCAAAAAGCTTTTTTATCTATAAAGAGGGCGTGATCGAATTCCCTAATTTGTTTGGTTCCATTTTTCAAATGAAATTTTATCCAGTTTCTAATTTTTAGGCATACAAAAGCGATCTATCAATTGAAAGATAATAATGCAAAAAATATAAGTAAACCAAACTAAAAAAGGATAGTTTTGTTTTGTTCAGAAGCCCGGCGAACGGACGAAGAGAGAAGGGGGAGGTTAAGGGAGTGGTAACAAGCGAAAACAGAGCTCTGCAAATGCTGACTTGTTCATTTTATCATTTCATTAAACTATTGGATCAAATAATTTATGTATATATACTTACATCAGGTAAATGATCTCAAAGAGACGTTATTTTAACATCTTATGTGAATTGATCCCTTAGGGATTGGGTGAAAGCCCTTATTTCATCATTTTCCTGGGACATATATACATATTTGTAGTAATTGTAATTATTTAATAAAAAGTAACTAAAATAAAAATTTTCTTTGTTGACTTTAGAAGGAATTGACCTTAAAAAATTTATTTTTTATATTACTTGTTTCATGAATAAGAACATGAAACTCTCAAAACGTCACGTAAATGCAAAACACTGAATGAGATCAGAGAACACATAGCAAATTTTTCGTTTTGAATATTCTCAGTGAAAATTTGAAATATCTAAGCGCAAAATGTATTTTTACTGAATTCATTTAATCCTCCTAATATCATTCAAGCCTGTTAAATTTTAATTCTGTAGAATTAAGATGCAGCCCTTATCATGAAAATCGGATGATTTGAGCTTGAAATGTCGAGACCGGAAAGAATTCGGCGGCCGCGATTTTCAAGTCTGTGGGTACAGGTTGGAGGTCAATTGTGCGATGATTCTTCTCCAGTCCATGGTTCAAAAGACCGCGACATACTTCCCTGCAGTTTGGCTTGATTTTCGAAAGGCCCACGAGACACCTAATGTGTGCTATTTCTTAATCAATTAACTCGAAAAAATGGAGCAATTATTACACATTTTAAAAGGTTTTAAGAACAAAACATCATTTCTCCTCCAGGTTAATCAACTTGAAAGGAGAGAAAAAAATAAGGAAAGTCAGGAGAATTTCACCTATCTTTTTTCTTGCAATGTTCGTTGCTAAGTGATTGAAATAAATTTAAAAAAAAAAACGCAAATAGAGATTAAATTATTGAGCTCAAAACTACAATAAGTATTACTTAACACAAAATATTTAAGTATGAATTAAATATAGTTTGTGACTGGGTTGTCAATAAGTAATATATAATGTAGGGCACAGAAAAATATTCTTTTGTAAGATTTAATTCATGATTCGCACATGTAAAGTAAATTCATACAGACTTTTTATTTCACTTATATTCAAGCAATGATATAACAGTTAATTTGAATGAAGAAGTCTAAATTGTGTCTTGTTTCTATAATGTATTTCCGTATTTTATTAATAAAAACAAAAGAGAAAGTCAATTTTTTTTGCCATGTTTCATTAGCATCTTATGTTTATTCAAAGTTTTCGTTATAAAGGTTTAAATTGCTTTTTTTTATTATTTTTTATGAAGGATACCATACTCAATATAAAGTTTGGTTCTCACGAATTTCAGTTTTTTATATCCTCCTACACACTCACAAAGTAGTATAAAATTTAAAGCCGATTACACACACACACACATTGATGACGTAAATTATATCAAAGGAATCATAATTTCTAAAACTATATCATTATTTCAGGAGTTTTAAATTCAAAGATTTCTGACATTATATCCACTTAAAAAATATCAATTACCATTCAAGGAAAGATACAAAAAAGAAATACAACGGACAATCTTTCAACAAATATTTAGAAATATAACGGAAGTGCCTTGTATAAGAATTAGTTCTCTTTTGTACTATAGCAAAAAAAAAAAAAAAAAAAAAAAAAAAAAAAAAAAAAAAGCAGGGGAAAAAACACAATAACAGAAAATTCCTGTTTTTTTCCTGGAAAAAAGAGTGTTTGGGTAATTTAAGATTTGACATAATTTATATCACATTATAATTTTCCTGAAACGCTTATGTTAAATATTGTTTTTTTAAACATTGGTTTTATTAATGGCCGTTAATTCTTTTTTGTTTCATATAAATATTGATCCTTAGTTAAGTATATAAAAACAAGCTCTCTTTAGCTTTCAGATATATTTTAGACTGATATTATTTAAAAATATTAAATTACTAGCTGTTATACCCGCAACTTCGTCCACGTGGAATTTAGCAAAAAAGTGTTTGTTCAACAACTGCCTACATACTTAACTAAATAAAATAACATATAAGTAATTTATTAATTTCAAAGTATATAAAAAAAACTGAACTATTTTCATGATGAAAAAAACCTAACGACGCTTAACATTGATTTCTAATTATTACTTAAACCCTTCAGGACCAGCAAAAGGAGAAAGAAGCATTTCCCCAGGCCCACACGTTCTGAGAGAATACGCACGCACGGTACCGGGCGAATTTCTTCCCGGTCAAGCCAAATTTCATTTAAAAATTCATATAAAATCTTTAATGCAATCAAATACGCTAAAATATGCAATTTACTATCATTGATAATATCTGAATATATAGTACAAAAATTTTCGCTATATTTAAAAGAAAACAATTGAGAATTTTACAGAAAATGTTTTCATTTTAATAAAAAAAAAAAACTCTTTTCTCCATGATGATAAAAAAAAAGAAGTAAAACTTACAAAATACTATCCGGCACATCTCAAACGATAAATTTACTCTCACAGAAACTTGTTTTGGCTTGAACTGATACAAATATTTTAAATAACAACTATTGTATAGTTTTTATTTTTAATTAATCCTTATATTGCTCATAGCATTTTTAGAATCACAATAGTATTATGTGTTCTGTTCTTATATAGTTATATTTCAACTCTGGTTGCGATAGCAACGAAAAAGAATGGTTTGTTTTGTTAGAAATATTTGATTTTCTTTTAGGTATAACTAAAGGGTGTAAGTGCACTTTTCACCTAAAACGAAATTAAAAATATTTATTTTAGAAACAACTACCTACGTACTTAACTAAATAAAATAACCTGTAAGAATTTATCAATTTTAATGTAAATAAAAACTGAACTATTTTCATGAAAGAAAACCTAACGACGTTTAACATTGATTTCTAATTCTAACTTAAAGGTCTCATCGCTAGAAAATAGTGAAAATGTAACGAAACAATTTGAATTAAGAACGGAACGGTAGAAAAATAAAAAATACCTTGTGACTCGAGAAACTATTATTCTTCGATTTCAATATAAATATTACGCAATATAAATATTATTCAATTAAATATTATTATATTGTATATATTACGCAGGACAAATGACGTTATTTACAGTTTTGAATAAATTTACTTAATTTAAGGGTGTAAATGCACCTTTTCCCTGAAACGTAATTAAAAATATTTATTTTAGGAACAACTACCTACATACTTCACTACATCAAACACTTGTACAACCCCTCTTGCAAGACAAATATTTATTGGTACTGCTTTGCGCAGGGTTTGGCAATGAAATAAACAACAGAGGTCGAAGGGACTGTAACATATCAACTCTTGCCCTTTGTTAATTTAAAATACTTTAAAGTTAAAATTAAAATACAGGAGAGTAAGAAATAAAATAAAAATTAAAAATAATAAAATGCATTAAGTGCATGAAAAATAGCTTCAAAAATGGTGCAGGCACCGATAATGAAAACAAAATTTCGGTCTTTGGGTGGGCGGTGTGACGTCTGACCAATGAGAATGCAGCTAAAATCTCGATCGTTGAAAATGGGAAAACACAGAATTAAAAAAAAAAAAATAATCAGAAACAGCTTATTTAAAAGCTAAAAAAGAAAATAATAATAAAATAAAATACTTAAAAAATGGAGGAAATAAAAATGATCTGTTGAATTAATTTTCCGAAGAAAATTAAAAAGTATATTAAAGCAATTTAGAAAAGTCAACGCGTTTGGGAATCAAACCCAGAGCAGCGTGCAGTATTAGCAGCGTGTTACTCTCACCGCTAGACCACGAGGGGCTAAGGGAAAGAGGTGAAGTAAGCTTTCATGATGGATACTACGAATATATGGAAATAAGAAAAAAATTACATAAATATTTCTGAAATAAAAGTAGCCTAAGTTATTCTTTATAACATTAGCTATCTCTCTGCCAGGAAAAGTTCGTTCCAGCCGTTTCCGAGATTAGCCGGAACAAACAGACAGACAAACATTTTAAAAGTGGATTTTTTGATATAAGTACCGAATATACTTTTAAATGCATTTCGTAAAAAGCTGTTAATTTCAAATTACAAAATTCATTTTTATTTCTATGTATAGATTAAAAGAATTAGTTTCCTTATATTATGGACCTAAATAACGA